GTAAAATGAATTTTTCCACACGCGGCTGCCGTTCACCGAACGACGCGAAGCGGAGTTCGGTGAAGCAGCCGAGTGCGGAAAAATACTTCCGCAAGTGTTAGGTACAATATTTTTCCTACAGGCGTAAAAATGTAGATTTTTTTTAGACAGCCGTGCGGTAAAATTTTTTCCGCACTGACAGCCGTGCGGAAAATTTTTTTTCGCACTGATATGCGTGCGGTAAAAGTTTTACCGTACCGTGCGGGAAAACTCATTTTCCGCACGGATATCAGTGCGGAAAATTGATTTTTCCGCACGGCTGTAGGAAATAGTTATTTTCCTAACAAGTGCGCAAAGTGTTACTTTTCCGCACGAAAACACAGTTATACGAACGACGCGAAGCGGAGTTCGGATACGTGTTTGCGTGCGGAAAAGACACTTTGCGCACGTGTTAGGAACAAAATTTTTCCTACGAGCTTCATATCAGGTAGGTAATAACAAAAATTAAAAAAAAAAAAAAACGATAATTTGTTTAATTATTTTTAATTAACTTGAAGGGAACCTATGCATTTATCAAAAAATTACATAACAAAAAAAAATAACAGAAAATCCTCGTCAGAGCTGCTCATCTTAAAGCGTTTAAATTTGATGAGAAAGTTTGTAGATTTCTGCATATAAGTAGAGAACAAATCTGACAATGTGTCAAAGTTAATTTATATTTGGTGTTTGTATAGATGTTGGCTGATATAGGACCAGAGGAAAAATTTGTCATCATGTGTCAAAGTCGACAGGTGCACTTATTGTTGGTTCACAATTATAATTACTTTTCGGCACTCAGTGCGGATAAGGCCTGTATCCGCACTGAGTGCGGAAAAGTGTAACTTTGAGCCCGGAAATGCGTGCGGAAAAGTACTACTTTGCGCACGCTCGTAGGAAATAGTTATTTTCCTAACAAGTGCGCAAAGTGTTACTTTTCCGCACGCAAACACAGTTATACGAACGACGCGGAGCGGAGTTCGGATACGTGTTTGCGTGCGGAAAAGACACTTTGCGCACGTGTTAGGAACAAAATTTTTCCTACGAGCTTCATATCAGGTAGGTAATAACAAAAATTTAAAAAAAAAAACGATAATTTGTTGTTATTTTTAATTAACTTGAAGGGAACCTATGCATTTATCAAAAAATTACATAACAAAAAAAAATAACAGAAAATCCTCGTCAGAGCTGTTCATCTTAAAGCGTTTAAATTTGATGAAAAAGTTTGTAGATTTTTGCATATAAATAGAGAACAAATCTGACAATGTGTCAAAGTTAATTTATATTTGGTGTTTGTATAGATGTTGGCTGCTGATATAGAAACAAGAGGAAAAATTTGTCATCATGCGTCAAAGTCGACAGGTGCACTTATTGTTGCTTGACAATTATAATTACTTTTCGGCACTCAGTGCGGATAAGGCCCGTATCCGCACTGAGTGCGGAAAAGTGTAACTTTGAGCCCGGAAATGCGTGCGGAAAAGTACTACTTTGCGCACGCTCGTAGGAAAATTAATTTTCATGTCATGTCAATTTGAGGAATAGGTACGTATCGTTAAGGCTCTCCTGAATTAGTTGGTGGAAATGGCCATAAATGTCATAACAAGCAGTGCTGGCACTTCCTTAAAACAGTTTGAGATGTTTCCGCAGTATTGAAACAGTTTTCAAATCGATTAAAACACGTTTTTAAAACGTTTTAAATCGAAACGGTTTAACGAGATATAAAACAGTTTATGGGGTGTTTATACAAGCATTTTATAGTAAAACGTTTTCTGTTAAAGCGGTCTAACGGGAAACGGGAAGCATACACATGGTAATTGTTATACAGTAGGTAGGTACCTACCTACCTACATTTTTTAGGATGGGTATATTAAAACTTTTTTGACAGAAAAGTAGAAGTTAACTTCTAGTCTTCTGTCAAAATAGTTTTATAATACCTGCCCTGAGTCCCTGAGTAGGTTAAATGTGCAGGTTCAATTGACATAAATTAGTGTACTTCATAAACAAATTATATATTTCAATATGTATATGATTTCTATTCTACAGAAATATATCTGGAAAAAATATCTAAAAAAGAATCTGATAATTAGAATTTTAACATTCTAGATAGGTACCTAATAAAAAGTTCAATTTTAACAATCTTTGGGACGTAAATTTATAATATTATTTTTTCAAAACAACATAAGAGCCGAAGGTATACCTACCAAAAATATCTTTCCATAATAATATAACATATGTTTCTTCTTGGTCCTATGTTTTTTTTTATATATATATATATATATAAAATACGTAACTTTCTAATACCACAGTCAAACTTGATATTTCTATATTATTAAGTAAATCTTAAATCTTCTAGTAACTAACAATCTACCAAACCTTTCCTGGTCTAACACAAAAATAAAAAATATATTACAAGAAAAAAAATCCATTAGAGAGCCTTTATGTTTGAAAACAAACAAAATGTGCTTTTTCATATTATCACATGTTTTTCAATAGAATATGGCCAAAATCTGACGGTTTACTTTCTAATCAATGAAAAGAAGCGTACCTACTAAGAAAATTTATAAGAATGTCTACAATAATAGGCATATAGGAATCTAAACTAAGATTGTGTTTGACATAGTTCAACATACAAAATTTTTACCAAAGTTGTATGTTTTTAAGATCAATATTTTCCTGAGATATGGAAGATATAATATATCGTATCTATTTTAGTTAATTAATACTTGAGCTGTTTCTTAGAAAATATTATATTATTTTAAATTATGAGCTGTCAACTTATGTGTCTGTGTGTATTCTTCTTGTAAAATGATGCAAAATAGAACCTTCAAATTCTAATGTCATAACGTTCTGATATAAAATATTTGCCAATATTAAATATTAGCATATTATGATGATGTTTTGAAAACTTCAATACAAAAACCCCTATGTTAAATTCCTACTTTGCACTACATCCACCCTCTGCAGGCATTTTGTGCAAAAAAAAAGTAATGTTGAAAGCAAACTCTTTGTATGAAATCGTAAGTAAAGAAAGTCTTTTCTCAGACATGGGAAGTGAAGAGGAAAGAAATGCCTGGAAAAAGAAAGATGCGAAAGCACAAAAGCTGATAGTTATGTCTGTGGACAAGAAATATATCATGCACATTATCAACTGTTCAAGTTCCGGTGAGTAAAATGTATGACAAACCCAAAAATATCTTTAAAAAGCCGACATAAGATCAAGTATGTAATTTATTACAGCAGTTTTATAACTTTAGTTAGGAAAAAGGGTGTGATATGTCAATTCACATAAGTAAAATCGAGAATTTAGCTCATATATTGAAGACTCAGAATCAAAAAGTATATCGAAACGTGATAATAAGTAAAATTCTCTCAACTTTGCCTGAGCACTACAAACATTTCATCACTGCTTAAGAATCCACTGCTTTAACTTAATGAACATTGACAAACTCGGTAACAAGACTTTTGTCAGAAGAAAGTCGTGGAAAAGAAAAAGAAAGTGAAGGAGCTGTAGCATTTAGAAGCACAAAAAATTTTGCTTCAAGTGCAAAAGTATTGTAAGAAGGAATCTGAAAGTGGAAAATGTTTTAAGTGTGGAAAATCAGGGCATTATGCTAAAAATTGTTTCTCAGGATCAAGGGCAGTGCAGTGTCCTATTTGCAAAAAGAAAAACCATGAAGAAAAAGATTGTTACTATAGAAAAGACAGGCAAGGACAAGCACGAGGGCGAGACGAAGAAAGAAAAGTCGACAGGTGCACTTATTGTTGGTTCACAATTATAATTACTTTTCGGCACTCAGTGCGGATAAGGCCTGTATCCGCACTGAGTGCGGAAAAGTGTAACTTTGAGCCCGGAAATGCGTGCGGAAAAGTACTACTTTGCGCACGCTCGTAGGAAATAGTTATTTTCCTAACAAGTGCGCAAAGTGTTACTTTTCCGCACGCAAACACAGTTATACGAACGACGCGGAGCGGAGTTCGGATACGTGTTTGCGTGCGGAAAAGACACTTTGCGCACGTGTTAGGAACAAAATTTTTCCTACGAGCTTCATATCAGGTAGGTAATAACAAAAATTTAAAAAAAAAAACGATAATTTGTTGTTATTTTTAATTAACTTGAAGGGAACCTATGCATTTATCAAAAAATTACATAACAAAAAAAAATAACAGAAAATCCTCGTCAGAGCTGTTCATCTTAAAGCGTTTAAATTTGATGAAAAAGTTTGTAGATTTTTGCATATAAATAGAGAACAAATCTGACAATGTGTCAAAGTTAATTTATATTTGGTGTTTGTATAGATGTTGGCTGCTGATATAGAAACAAGAGGAAAAATTTGTCATCATGCGTCAAAGTCGACAGGTGCACTTATTGTTGCTTGACAATTATAATTACTTTTCGGCACTCAGTGCGGATAAGGCCCGTATCCGCACTGAGTGCGGAAAAGTGTAACTTTGAGCCCGGAAATGCGTGCGGAAAAGTACTACTTTGCGCACGCTCGTAGGAAAATTAATTTTCATGTCATGTCAATTTGAGGAATAGGTACGTATCGTTAAGGCTCTCCTGAATTAGTTGGTGGAAATGGCCATAAATGTCATAACAAGCAGTGCTGGCACTTCCTTAAAACAGTTTGAGATGTTTCCGCAGTATTGAAACAGTTTTCAAATCGATTAAAACACGTTTTTAAAACGTTTTAAATCGAAACGGTTTAACGAGATATAAAACAGTTTATGGGGTGTTTATACAAGCATTTTATAGTAAAACGTTTTCTGTTAAAGCGGTCTAACGGGAAACGGGAAGCATACACATGGTAATTGTTATACAGTAGGTAGGTACCTACCTACCTACATTTTTTAGGATGGGTATATTAAAACTTTTTTGACAGAAAAGTAGAAGTTAACTTCTAGTCTTCTGTCAAAATAGTTTTATAATACCTGCCCTGAGTCCCTGAGTAGGTTAAATGTGCAGGTTCAATTGACATAAATTAGTGTACTTCATAAACAAATTATATATTTCAATATGTATATGATTTCTATTCTACAGAAATATATCTGGAAAAAATATCTAAAAAAGAATCTGATAATTAGAATTTTAACATTCTAGATAGGTACCTAATAAAAAGTTCAATTTTAACAATCTTTGGGACGTAAATTTATAATATTATTTTTTCAAAACAACATAAGAGCCGAAGGTATACCTACCAAAAATATCTTTCCATAATAATATAACATATGTTTCTTCTTGGTCCTATGTTTTTTTTTATATATATATATATATATAAAATACGTAACTTTCTAATACCACAGTCAAACTTGATATTTCTATATTATTAAGTAAATCTTAAATCTTCTAGTAACTAACAATCTACCAAACCTTTCCTGGTCTAACACAAAAATAAAAAATATATTACAAGAAAAAAAATCCATTAGAGAGCCTTTATGTTTGAAAACAAACAAAATGTGCTTTTTCATATTATCACATGTTTTTCAATAGAATATGGCCAAAATCTGACGGTTTACTTTCTAATCAATGAAAAGAAGCGTACCTACTAAGAAAATTTATAAGAATGTCTACAATAATAGGCATATAGGAATCTAAACTAAGATTGTGTTTGACATAGTTCAACATACAAAATTTTTACCAAAGTTGTATGTTTTTAAGATCAATATTTTCCTGAGATATGGAAGATATAATATATCGTATCTATTTTAGTTAATTAATACTTGAGCTGTTTCTTAGAAAATATTATATTATTTTAAATTATGAGCTGTCAACTTATGTGTCTGTGTGTATTCTTCTTGTAAAATGATGCAAAATAGAACCTTCAAATTCTAATGTCATAACGTTCTGATATAAAATATTTGCCAATATTAAATATTAGCATATTATGATGATGTTTTGAAAACTTCAATACAAAAACCCCTATGTTAAATTCCTACTTTGCACTACATCCACCCTCTGCAGGCATTTTGTGCAAAACTTCATCCAAAAGTTGAAGGGCTCTATGAAGATGTACTTCTATCCAACAAGGAGTTTCTTTTATTTTTTTCCTAGGATAATCTCTACCCCATCCTTTCACAAAACTGAGGCGAAGTATACAGAGTCGTCGCAAGTCGTCAACCTGGAATTTTAGATAGTCAATTATTTTTATTTTTGTTCGATATTTTGAAAGCACTAACACCAATTCCTGCAGCAGCAGAAAGACTCATGGCGGGTGCGATTCCTCCTACTGAATGAGGACCAGGAATGTGACCTGCAACAGCAGCTGCTTGAGCCGCAGCTGCCGCTTGGGCGGATGCAGCTTGGGAGGTCATTTGTTGATGGCACTGACGTAAATCAAACACCTAAAAAAAATAATTAGTTGAAATTAACTAAAATATAACAATTTTTAGTTACTTTAATGTTTGCTCCAGGGAATATTTTATGCACAGCTTCTCCAGGTTGGCGTCCATTCTCTCTATCCAAATAGTAGCTTTGTACAAATACTGAGTGATCACTTAGACATCGAAGCCAAACATCTCCTTCGCCTTTTAGAGTTAGTTCAACCCCTCGGCCAATATGTAGTCTCGATCTCTCACTTTGATCAGTTCTGTGAACATTACTCAGAGCACCTAGGAGAATAGATATTCTCAGAATGAGATATTTTTTGTCTCACAGTTACATACCTAAACAAAATCTATTTCCTCTACTAGGATCTACATAGCCATCTACCGAGACTGTTGGTATTTTCGATAAAACTTTAAAAGTTTCACCAACTTGGGTGTCCAGTTCAAAATATGCTATTGAGCACCAATATTCGGGTAATGCTTGGTTTGACAACATTCCTAAAAATAACAATAAGAATGTCAAAAAAGATTATATACCAAAACTATCCTGAAGAAGTACAGGATCAAAGACTAGTCTATCTGGACTTGCTATAAGCATAAGACACCTTAATTATGGATAATATTAGTTTAACAATTGAACATTTGCGGAATATTAAGGAACTCTACTGATTATTGGTAATCAGACATTGTCAGCCCCTCGAGGTACCGCCCTTTCCATCTAAACAACGAAGCAGTTTGTATATAATAATAATAATTCATCACAATTTATTTCTTGCCAAGCACAACAATAGGGCCTTCTGTCTATCATAAGAATTGGAAATATTGCATCTGAATTTAAAATTTCATCCTCATAGAATTGTTCCATTTCAAGAACTAAAACCAAGCCACCAGTGATTACGGAGTATTTCACTGAAGGGCTATGGGGCGAATCAAAGTTGATCCAGACGTTGCTCAGAAAAATCATCTTTAGTGGTATCTCCTGGAAAGTTGCTTCAGGGAGCTTTGAGGTTCAGGTGGTGTCCAATAATGATATTCAGGAACACCCGTATAAATTGATCACATTTGCGTGAGCTATTTTTGACACATCTTAGCTTAAATTATAAATAATTTGCAAAGAAATTTCATAAGGATGCCAAGAGATTTAAATAGATAGAAATAGAGACTACTCAATAAATTTTTCAGTTCAGTAGGAAAAAACCTTGCGACAAAAATAAATATGTAAATCGAAAGAAAACAGGCAGACTGAAGATGTCTGAAAGAATTCTATGTATCTTGCACCCATAACAGAGACGGAACTGTTAAAATAACTAAGCGGCCTTAAAAGTAATTCTGCATGTGGAGAAGACGAGGGGTCTACTGAAATGATCAAAAATCACATTGAAAAACTAACTAAGCCACTAGTGCACTTGATAAATACCATTTTCCAAACAGGGACATTTCCCTCCATTTTTAGAAGTCTTGTAATACCTGTATTTTTAAGGCTGGAGACAGGTTAAAATGGTTAAATGTAAGCAATTACCGCCCTAAAGCTTTAACTAGTGTCTTGGCTAGGCTTGTTGAAAGGTGCATTAAGGAGAGACTACGGAGATACCTTGAAAAATATAACTTTACATCCAAAAATCAATTTGGTTTTAGGAAGGGATATGGAACCAATGATGCAATTGACAAGGTTAGCAAGCACGTTGTTTCTTCTCTATAAATCAGTGCTCCAAGCCTTCGGCAATCTTTGTTTTGGGTCCATTGCTCTTCCTGATATATGTGAACTCTCTTACAAAAACTCTAGATAATAGATCTAAAATCTTGTGTTATGCTGATGATACGGCAGTACTTATAAAGGCTGATACCTGGCAAAAACACTGGATGGACAGTAACCTCTTAACCTTAAATGTACCAAAGCTTTTTATATACCTTCCTCTGTAAACAACGTAAATATAGCAACTCGTATTATTAAATTTCACAACCACTCATGTACAGATATTTAAAACTGCAAATGCAACAACATAGTAGCACAAAATTTTGATCAGCATATGAGATGGCACATACATGTTGATTACATTGTGAATACCCTTCTGAGAATAGTCTACAAATGTTATGAACCAAGAGAAATTGTCTCACAAAAAACAATAAGACAGATTTATCAAGCTCTCGTGCAGCCCATTTTAAACTTTGCAATCGCCTCCTGAGGATGTAAAAATGTTTTAACCTCTTTGTTTGTGTCCCAAAAGTATATACTTAAACTAATGCTATCTAATATTCTGAAAGGCTTTTCAAGGATGAAGGTTGTTGAACATAAGACAATTCATTTCTTGCCAAGCACAAGTATAGGGCCTTCTGTCTAGCATAATAATTAAAAATATTGCATCTGAATTTGAAACTTCATCCTCACAGAATTGTTCCATTTCAAGAAATAAAACCAAGCCACTAATGATTACGAAGTATTCCACTGAAGAGCTATGGAGCGAATCAAAGTTGATCCAGACGTTGCTCAGAAAAATCACACCATCAAGTTCGTTTTTTAATCAGAATACAATCTTGGATACATTTTTTCAAGAGTTATTAAAGATAAGACAGAAGCTCTAACAAAAAAGCTGTGAGTGTGTTGGGTAAAATAACAAAAATAATAATTATTAATTTGTTGGTTGAAAAAGTTTAAGTACGCCCCTGTACAGAAAGCACTTTTGATTTATCTTGTTCTGTCATTGTGGAGCGCATGAATTTAGAAGATAGTTTTGATTTTGACTTTTAAGCCAGTTGGCTGTTGTTATGACATGTTTTGTGCGATGAGCAATAAAGTGCAAATTAATTTAAAAGTCTTGTTTTATTATCAAAAACAGTAAAAGTAGAAGTAAAACTCGAGAGGTTATGGGCCCAGGCAGCCCAGGACATCGAAAAAAGTAAAATTTGCCTGGAAGTAAAAAAAAACAGTAAAAATAAACAAAGGAAGTTGTGCCTCGAGGTGTGCTCATCAATAGTGTTCAAAATGGCTGAAGAATATCAACAAATTGATAAGTTAATAAACGAGGAATCATTTCAAATATGGAATTTTCAGTTAACAGTAATGTTGAAAGCAAACTCTTTGTATGAAATCGTAAGTAAAGAAAGTCTTTTCTCAGACATGGGAAGTGAAGAGGAAAGAAATGCCTGGAAAAAGAAAGATGCGAAAGCACAAAAGCTGATAGTTATGTCTGTGGACAAGAAATATATCATGCACATTATCAACTGTTCAAGTTCCGGTGAGTAAAATGTATGACAAACCCAAAAATATCTTTAAAAAGCCGACATAAGATCAAGTATGTAATTTATTACAGCAGTTTTATAACTTTAGTTAGGAAAAAGGGTGTGATATGTCAATTCACATAAGTAAAATCGAGAATTTAGCTCATATATTGAAGACTCAGAATCAAAAAGTATATCGAAACGTGATAATAAGTAAAATTCTCTCAACTTTGCCTGAGCACTACAAACATTTCATCACTGCTTAAGAATCCACTGCTTTAACTTAATGAACATTGACAAACTCGGTAACAAGACTTTTGTCAGAAGAAAGTCGTGGAAAAGAAAAAGAAAGTGAAGGAGCTGTAGCATTTAGAAGCACAAAAAATTTTGCTTCAAGTGCAAAAGTATTGTAAGAAGGAATCTGAAAGTGGAAAATGTTTTAAGTGTGGAAAATCAGGGCATTATGCTAAAAATTGTTTCTCAGGATCAAGGGCAGTGCAGTGTCCTATTTGCAAAAAGAAAAACCATGAAGAAAAAGATTGTTACTATAGAAAAGACAGGCAAGGACAAGCACGAGGGCGAGACGAAGAAAGAAAAGTAGGTAGCTTTTTTGGCAGAAGACAATAAAGAAAATGTTTTTTCCGATAAAAACTTCATTGTTGACTCAGGTAGTTCTGCACACATGTCAAACAGTGAACATTTATTTTCTGAAATAATTGACTGCAACAAAATCAAACATTATGGTGAACAAGAAAAATGAGTCAATGATATCTGAAAGAAAAGGGAAGATCGAAAGTGAGAACTGTATTTTGAAGAATGTACTTTACGTGCCCGAATTAGCCAAGAATCTTATATCAGTAAATGCATTTACTGAGAGTGATGGAAAAGACATTTTTACCAAAGAAAAAGTAGTAATCATTATTATATAGGAAAATGGACTTTATGTTATAAATTTAGAAATTAACAGTGAAAAAAGTTATCTAACTGGAAGAAAGGAACAAGTAGAAAATTGGCACAGAAAACTTGGACATTTGGGAATGCAAAAACCTTAAGAAACTGGAAAATATGTCTACTGACATAAATCTTGGTAAAACAGACTTTAATGAATTTGAATCTTTGGGTGAAGTTTGTGTGGAGGCAAAGCAGACAAGATTCCCTTTTACAAGACCATTTGTGTTAACTATTTTGGATGATTTTACACATTATTGCAGAGAAGTAAAAATGAAGTATCCATGTATCTAAAAGAATTTATAACTGAAGCTGACAAAAATCTGAAAGTGTCAAAAATACGTTGTGATAATGGCAGCGAGTACAAAGATAATATTTTTCAAATTTGGTGTAAAAATAAGGGCATAGTTTTGGAATATACCGTACCGTATAATCCACAACTAAATGGTAAAGCAGAAAGGTTAAACCAAACCTTATTTGAAAAAGCTCGTGCCATGATTTTTGATTCAAAACTGGGCAAGAAATTCTGGGGGAAGCTATGTGTATGTGGCAGCCTATCTATTAAACAGAAGTCCTACAGAAACCATTGATGTAATACCCATTAAAAATGAACAAACAGAAAACCAGATCTTATCAAACTTGCAAGTGTTTGGAGCCACAGCTTATGCTAAAATCTTGGGACGCATTAAAAAGCTAGATGCAAGAAGTCAAAAATTCACATTTGTGTGTTATGCGTTTAATGGTTATCGTTTATGGGACGAAAAAACAGGAAATATCAAAATATACAGGCATGTGATTTTTCAAGATCCAAAGGAGAATATTGAAGAACAAAAAGTAAGGATAGAATCTATAGAAGAAGAATAACAAGAAATTTTAATAGAACATTCCTCAGAATAGCCAGCACAAGAAGAGGAAAACGAAACAGAAGAGACAGTTTTACTATTGGGAGAAGGCCAAGAAGAAGAACAAACAGTAGAAAGACAAAATGAAGAAAAACAAATCAGAAGTGGAAGGAAAATAAAAACGCCAAAGAAATTATTAGACTACAATCTTGATTTTGACGCTGATTATGGAGAATATGCAATGATAAGTTATGAAGAAATCCTAAATAGTACAGATAAAGACAAATGGAAGGAAGCATTTGAAGAAGAAAAGATATCATTACAAAAGAACAACACTTGGATATTAGCAGACAGAAATGAAACAGAAAACAGGAAATCACTTACAAGCAAACGGGTATTTAGAATTAAGGATGATGGAAAGTACAAAGCAAGGCTTGTAGTGAGAGGTTTCCAGCAACAATATGGCATTGACTACAAGGACATATTTAGTCC